AAAGGGTTGTTCTCACCTTTGTTTCATCCAGATGTATTCCACTGATCTCAAAATCTAACATTAAGAGCTCTGCCACTCTCCTAAACCAGCAACAGAAACATATACATTACTGTTTAAAAGTAAAAAATAATAATAATACTTTTATTCAGCAAGGATGCATTACAATTTATCAAAAGTGACAGTAAAGACAATTATATAGTTTCAAAAAGTTTCTATTTATCAAAGAATCCTGAAAAAAATCTATCAAGTTTTCCACAAAAATATTAAGCAGCACAACTGTTTTCAACACTGATAATAATAATGTTTCTTCAGCACAATATATCAGCATATTAGAATGATTTCTGAAGGATCATGTGACACTGAAAATTCAGCTTTGCCATCACAGGAATAAATAACATTTTAAAATGTAATAAAACCTGCCTTGTGACTGGGTCCAGTGTGGCCAGAACAGCCTCGTTTCCCAGCAAATTCTTCAGGCTCTGACACAAATCAACATTTGTATTGAGTCTGTAACATACACACACAAATAAAAATAGAACAAATATTGTTTGACATTAAAACCAGAATAACCAGAATGACAGATACCCACTTTTCCACAACAGTTCCGATATCAACGCATGTCCTTTCCGCTGCCTCCCGGAACGCAGCATCCGGATGAGCCACTTTGATGAAATCTGCCTGCAACAAACACAAAACTCTGAAATTTAACAGATCCCTAACAAGAATCACAGTTTACATTACACCAACACAATAACGTTTACCAGGTCTGCCACTTTGCATAAGCTGTCAGACAGCTGGTCGAATGTTTCCACAGTGACGGCACAAGGAGGATGTGTGCAAGCCCTGTGGACCAGAAACTCTGCTTCCCTGAGAGCCTGACACAGAGCCATCTGGAAACCGGCAGGACTGCTGAGCTCTGATACTCCAAAAAGACCCTGAGAACAGAGAGGAAAGAGACTTACTTTCATTTTGCACTGCAAAACAAAGTCAACACAATTGTAGTCATTTGTCATGCTAATACCCGATCATCAAGCAGAAGAAGCTGGATGAAAACATTTCAATTGTATCAATCCAAAATCTGACTTGTGATGCAGAATGGAATCATAATCACACCATATTCGTTCATTTGTCCAGAGGAGAACTGCAACTGACACTATCGGATGATAACAAAACTTGAATGATGATGACCGCTGTTTTCTGCGGAGCTGCTTTATAGCTGTTTTGCCTTTTTTCATAATTGAAGAACTCTGCAACATCGACATCTGAATTGATGGTGTTCACATCATGTCGTAATCACCGTTTACTAGATTTCAACTTAAAGTAGTCACATCCTTGAGCTTACTTGAGCTGAATAATGAATAATTATATTGTTATCTTAGTTTAGAGTTGTTTATAGCTGAATTTAACTCATTTCATAACTGATGAACTTTACATAATTATTGACCTGACTTGAGCTGAGTAATTACTTCCGTGGAGCTGCTTTACAGCAGAATATGTCTCGTGTTTGAATAAGTTTGCATCATAGATCAGTATTTTCCTGTTTATTACTGTTAACCTGCTTTGAAACAATGTGTAATGTATAATATAAAAAGGTGGTAGAGTGAAAAGTGATTCACAAATAATCATTGTACAATGTGACCAATGAAAACAAAAGATATAATTCCATTAAAATTATTTTATAAAAGTAATAAAAAATAATACCTTATGAAGACAGACAGGTATGTACAACCTAAATTATTTTACTGTTAAAGCACAAGTGTATTTTATAATCTATAAACGTTTTCTTAAATGATTTATAATAAAAGTCTCACCACATTTTTCTGTAAATGTTCCAGTCGTTGGTGCTGAACATTAAACGCTGCCCCAACAGCAGACCAAGTGTTGACAGTGCGTCTGTAGAGCGCGTGCGAGCGCTGCAGCAAGAGTCTCGCGCAGCGCATCACTGATCATGGCACACAACAACACTACTAAACATTACAGCATCAGCCCCTGACATTATGAAACAGCCTGGCCGGCTCTTATAAAGTATTATGCAAACATTACGAATTAACTAAAGTTCCCCAGCCTGTAAATCTGCGGAGATCAAGCTGTGGTGGATTTCACCTCTCATTCGAAAATTCCTCGCAAGGTTTCACTTCAGCACTTTAGTTTCTACAATCACCAATGAAAACTTGAAAGCTTAAATTAAAGAAATATAATCCAAAAATGTGTTCTATAGATATATTGTGCAGATTTATTTAGTTATGTGCAGCTATGTTAGGGTTAATCCGGGTTTGGTTTTTATTTACATCACACTAACGAAACTGTGCGGACGTTGCGTAAATAAGTTAGTGTGTGACGTAAAACAACAGAAAAGGTCGCATTGTCTCTTTTCTCCAGAAATACACAGGTAAAAGTGTTTCACAGGAAGATTAAGCTTTGTTATTTTGACTTAACGGCAGGTTAGCTGTGGAATAATGTCGATTCAGAATTTGAATATGAAGAGATTACCGCATATTTGCCAAACAATCATCATAAGCCACTTTGAATTACATAAAGGGATTTGTTTTGCTCTGTATTTTGTTTGTCTTTGTGAAAAGTTGTAACAACCAAATTAACCATTCAAATTGTCTTCTCTTTCAGCTGATCTGTCAAATCAAGGACAGACAAGTTCCCTCATTTATTTTTTAGTTATTACATAAGTCAGTTAGGTAACTTAAGGTTTGTTTTTCATCTCTGACAAATGGTTATAAGGGAATCTAGCCAACAACATTAGCTTTACAAACCCACATTGTAAAAAGCAGGAATGTGGCACCCAAAACAAAGCTTAGACACTCCCTTGCCTTAGCGGAAGTATGTTCGAATATAAACAAAAACCCTTATGCCAAACATTTTCTTGGTCATCACAGTCAAATAAAGTTTGGGTGGGTGTTGGGGTTAAAATCACATATGGTGGGCAACTTCTTATCCATTTATCTTATTAGACAGTTTTTCGTATGGGAACAAAGCAACTGTTGATGTCACATCCTGTGCCAACAGGTGCTGTTTGTGAGCTCACATCCATCTGCTCTGCTCTGCACATCTGATTCGGTGATTAAGATACACACATTAGTAAAAGCTGTCTTCGAAATTTGCATGATTTTGTACGTGTGCATATTCATATCACATCAAATGGATGAAATATAAGACTTGAAGACTTGGAATAGACCAGTTATAGATATCAAAGCATTTACATGCTTTGATATCTTATGCATTTACATCCGAACACATAACATGTAATACAACTTTTATATGATAAAAATTAAGAAAACCTTCAGATGTGAGAGGTCAGAGTACAGTCAGACCCATCAAAATACAACCTGAAATGTTTTTGCAGGGAATTAGACAAGCAAATCTTCAAATAATTGTGTAGAATGATTACTCACTGTACCAAAGAAACTCTTGAAAAGTCCATATGCTGCATAAATCTGTATTACATGGATCCTAAGATAACTATTTAGTTCACACCAATTAAACTAATACATAAACAACTAGTCATGAAAAAAAAAGTGCAAATTATGCAGCAAAATCATATTAAACACTAACAAGTTATATGGTATTACCATGTTTTATTTTTGGACACATATCATGGTAATACCAGTGATTTTTTTTAGCATCAATTGAGATTATAGTTTTAATTAATATTTTTAATTAATTTTTGTATTTTCATTTTAAATGTAAGTTTTATTAATTCTGTTTTTCGTCATTTTTATTATTTAAAAAAATGCCTATATAGTTTTTATTAATTTTGTTTCAGATTTAATTTAGTTCATCAAGTTAAACTCAATGAAAAAATCTTTTCTTGGCAACCAGCTGAAATAAAATAATTATTTTTTATATTTTATTTCAGTTAACATTTATTTAATTTCAAGTAATGAAAGTGTGTTTTTTTAGTTAACTATATTAACCCTGGATACAATGGTATATTCTTTGAAATACCACAAATACTATAGTACATACAGGACCTGACAAACTGCAGAATTTTAAAGTGCAGATATTTCATTTTAATCTATATATATATAATCTATCTATTCTTATTGTAAGTGTAACTAACCCTACAGTAATGAATGGAACTTCAAAATCAAAGGGAGAACAGGGTATCACAACTGATTTTTATTGGCTTGTTTTATCGAACCATAACACAGAGATACATCTATAAACAATGATCAAAAGAAACTGTACATTTATACTTGATATTTAAGTCCCACAAAAATATTGCTACTGCTGGTCAGAACGCTTTAGAACCAAAGAGATTTTTCACGTAATGACTCATTTGTCTCGAATTTTCCATTTTAATAATGTGTTTGGATATTAAAGAATCGCTGGCTTTGTAGAGATATTCATCCCATGTCTGCCATCGGTACCATAACACAAACTGGACTTAAAGCCCCCCAAAAAACATTTTCACAGCAGTTTTACACATTTATTGCGGTACTATCACAGAAGAGACAAAATCAATACACACGAAGCACAGGCCTGACATGAACTCCAGTACTAGAGAATATGTTTATTTAGCAGAAATGATTATGGAGAACTGCAGTTAACATATGGAACACAGCTTACAAATGTTCTACAAGTAATCTTTTGCCTTATAAACAATAAACAATGAGTTATTTGCCCACCCCTCCCTCCCTCCCCAAACACGCATTACAGGTTACACAAACACACACACGCACACAAAAAAATAAATCCCTCATAAAGCCAATGGAATGTTAGTCATACGGACAAGCTCGGTAAGATGTCCGTCCAGCTGTCTGTGTAAATGACATGCCCGCAAACCTGCCCCTCTACCTCTCACTTTGAAAGCGACTGCAGAGAGGGGGAAAAATACTCCTGTCGACATTTACGATGACGGTAGTTTTTTCTGCCCAATGTAAAAATGCTGGATATGATGAGATCACTTTCAAAATGTTTCTTTTCTTCCATAAAAAATGTGTCTCTACAATCAAACTACTAAAAAACCTGCCTTTAGAAAATAGTAGATAAAAATATTCCCCTGAATTGTACAAGAAAAGAGGTACAGGGAGTGCTGGTAAAAGATGAGACCTCAGCAAAGTTATTCCCCGTCTTCTCCCTTCTTGTCGGCGTCTTCCGTTGCCTGAAAAACATCATCATTGGAGTTAATCACATTGGCCGTTTTTTTTCTTTCACATAAGATCACAAATCATTTAAGGGTGATATTACCTCTTCGTCATCTTTTGTTTCTCCGTTTTCTGCGGGCACCTCCTCTTTCTTCTCCTCCTCCTTGGGCTCCTTGGGTTCCTTTGTTTTCTTAGGTTTGGCAGGCGCCTTCTACATTGTGTTAGATTAAAGTTCATTTTAATGCTAAGTTTGGTCTATAATTCCATTTAGGTTTTTACCATAACTTTTAATTAAGCATTTTCCTTACCTTTGGCTTAGGTTCTGCCTTTTGGGGTGTAGGTTTCTAAAAAATTAAAAGAGGTATAATACGTAAATAAATAAACAAACAATAATTGTCATATCAGTTAAATTAATGTAAAGTGTATATAAAAAAATCAACGCACACTCACGTTCACCAACCTCTCCGACCTTCTTTTAGGCTGCAAAGCAGTAACGGTTAAACCATATATGTACTTTGATGCAATAAAATATAGATTTTTTTTCTATAATTAAAACTTTATTTCCATGCAAAAAAAGTAGGATCTGCTCACCTCAGTGACTTCAGCATCATTGTTCGCCTACGGGTAAAAAAGAAAGAAAACAGTGTTATTCTCAGAAATCCAAGTCAATCAATTTAATTGGACTTTTTTTTACCCCCCAGTTTTTTTTTCAGGTAGGGATGGGAATATAAGGAATTTTATTTCTTTGGGTTCGGATTCCTCTCAATAATTCTTTTAGTACTTTTATGAAGATATATTTGGAGGGAAAATGTATATGTCTTGAAATGAGAAATAAATGTAATACAATTCTTGCAAAAGGTGTTTGACTTTTCATAGACATTTATAAGCAGCATAATTAAGTGATATAATTGGTTAAAGATCAAACAAACAAAACATGTGGTATCAAATCTTATTCAGTCATATATTTTAATAAATAAAACATAACTAATTAAAACTCAATTCAATGTAAATTAAACTCATTTTGACATGAACAACCAGTCAAGTAATTACAATGATTTAACTTAAGCCTCATTAGCCTTAATACAACATAACAGAAACAGTTGATTCGATTTCAGTCGGACATGACGAAAGTAATAATAAGTGAATCCGGAAAGGTTTAAAACCGTGAATTCGTAAGTGAATTTAGTAACAGCTCTGATTGACTCATAAAATAGAACAGGCTTATAAAAGTCACTCTTTCACGAAGCGAAATACGCGGTATGTTTATGATTCACTAAAAAAAGAATCGGCTCATTAGAGTCATTCGTTCGGGAATCGGACATTGGTCGTGATGTTTGGTTTTGATTCATTACAAAAAGAGTCGGTTCAAATTATTCATTCGTTCGAAAAAAAGAACTAGCCAGGCCACGCGGGTACGCTTTAATATACACTAAAAAAAGAATCGGATCATAAGAGTCATTCGCTCGGGGATCAGACTAAATGGCTGCTGTATGTTTCGTACTATGGATTGGGTATTTTTCTTGAAGTAACGACTCCCAAACAGCAATTCATCAATGTTTATGTCCTGCCGCCGTTTGCCGACACTGTGCTGTCCCGTCTTTTTTTTTTTTTTTTTTTTTGCAGTCTTGTGTGCACCGCCCCCTTCATGCACACAGACTCATTCAACGCTGATTAATGGAGATTGGCGCTCGCCCCACCGACCATGACATTCCCGCCATTCACTTTCAAACACAACATCCCGAGGTGCACAGCCGCGAGGGAAAAAAAACACTACAGAATATACCAGAATAATAGGAAACACCAAACAGTGGCGCTATGATGTGCAAGAATACCGCCATTGCATAATCTACCACTTACACGATCAAATATTTCGAGACGCGATCGTCCAAGCCCTAATACAGGAATTAACTCCCTAAAGCACGACTATGAGCTGCAGGATAAAATATTGCACCGTCTGTCACTGTGTTTTCAGACCCACAGTGAGTTTTAAATAATCGGGGTTGCGCGAAAGGGCAGCCATGACACTAAAAACACCGAGCCTTTACAAAGACATGTATGTGGAATTTCAACCGACCCTTCTGAAAAATAAAAACGGCATGTAATAAATAAATAAATAAACATTCAATGCAACAATTTGATTTGATGTCCTGCGCGCGACGTCTTTAGGTTGCGAATCTGTAAACCGCACATTAACGAAAACTAAGATCGTTACACCCCCTTTGTCTGATGCATGTCGACAGAGACTTCATCTATTTGTAAACAAAAACGCGACAAACATAATATATATGCACCGATCATATCCCGTATCCGCGTATGCATGGAAATTAAGCTGGCTTTAATTAACTCTGACGGAGAGAAAAATCTCAGCCGCGCGCTCTCAAATCAAAACACGCGTTTAATAAACAGAAGTATGCAAACACAAAATTGCACGGATACCGTTGCACTGTAAGAAAAATAAGTACATTTGCACGCAACATGTATACACTGTTATTTTCATTCCTTTTTTAAAACTGCATATTCTATTAAAGATGGTGCCTCGATATATTAAGAAACCAATGCGCTACTTACTTTGCTCCTTTTAGGCATGGCTGTAGGTTTTTACAACTCGCAAAAAAATCACGGCGTTTAAAAATGCAAGATGCACGGATTTAACGCTGAAAAACAGGCGACACTGTGACTTGAGCTCGGTTAAAGATTCACACAGTAGGGTTGATCACAGTATAGGAAGACGTTAACGCTCGTCCGAAACAAAAACCTGCTCAAACCGGATTGGATTCTCCTCCTCCTCCTTCTTCTTCCCTATTCAATTCATCACAGGCCGACCTGACAGCGAATTTACGATTCCCACTATGGCGAAGCCTCGTCTCATGAATATTAATTAGACCATGGTGACGTTACTTGATAACCTTCCAGTCACATCCTTTGATTACTATTCATGAGCCATGCCATTCTGAAAGTAGGTTTCGATTATTGGCCAGCAGAATAGCGTCCCCTTGCCAACGACAGCCTTTAAGCCAATCAGAGCGAAAGCCATTTTTGTAATTTATTATTCATAAGGAGAGTCTTCGCCATAGTAGGATTATCAAATCGTCTCTCCGCCTCCTGCTCCCGGTGATTGGCCTGCGGAGAGCCACTGCACATTTTCAAATCATAGCAAGATACCCGTGTGGGCACTTTTGCATGTCAATCAGTTGCAATAATATTTGTTTTTGCAATGACTTAGAGCTGGTAAAGGGAGATTATCTTAACTCTGCTGTTGATTTGAAAATGTTTGGAAATCCAAATCCATATTCTTATCTTTAATTTCCATGCGATTAGATCATAAATGTTGCGCAATCAAAGGCTTTAATTTTTTTTAAAAAAAATTTAAACATGGTATCCAGATGTGTGGGAGTTATTTTAGGAGCTGGATTTAAAATGGACCTCGGGTATGTTTTTTTTTAAAGCCCCCGCGTGCATGCAGAGGTTTTAAAAAGGCAGAAAATGGCGACTGTGCAGAGAAACATTTCACTTCTGTGTCACCAACCAAATGTTCCCGTTGTTGAAATCTATAGCTCAAAAATGGTGCAAAATAAATCTATTGCCAGTTCCAGTGGCATTGTTTCTTTTATTTAGGTATTTTGTTTCTGTCTTCGGCATGAAAATGAAAATATTTATAAAATATTTCAAGTTATATAAAAAGGGATTATCTGTCCACTTAGATTTATAAAAATCTTAGGAAAAACAGGAAGGATTCATATTCACGTGGTAAACCTGGAAATGCATTGGAAATAAAAAGGAATTTTAAAATTGTGATTTCCAGATCTGGAAAGTAATGGAAACGTAATAAAATGGCAAAATCCATGATAATGTCTATAGTGCATGTATAAAAATGGATCAAAATGAATCCTCAAAAAGGTTGATCAAAATGAATCCTCCATTGGCCCACATTCAAGTCTTTCGAGAGACTTTCGTACACAAATAATTTTAAAATCTCCCTATTTTAAGGATTGAAACTTGGAAATGTATACATCCCATAAGCATGTGTGACTGTTGCCACACATACAGGCAGATGTTATTTTGCTGAAACTAGTGCATAGCAATGCACAGGACATGTTTACCAATATGCACACAAATGCACTGTAGTTTAAAACATCTCCGTGCATATGTGATGATATTACTCTGGGAGAGATGTGTATGTAACAGCTCTATAACCTTTTATCAAGATCCTTTTTTGCTAAGGTTTTCAAATCGTCTCTATAATTATTTTTTTATAATATTTTTTTATATATTTTTATATAATATAATTATTATTGGTGTTTCCTGTGTTTAGTGTGTTCCTATGTGATTGCTAGGCTTGTCTGAGTTGTTTTTAGGGTGTTGATATGCATTTGCTTGGGTGTTCTGAGTGGTGTTTAGTGCATTGTTATGTGGTTGCTGGGATGTTTCATGTGATTGCTAGGGCATAAGCTTGTCTGAGTGGGTTTAGTGTGTTACTGTGTGGTTGCTAGTGTAGCGGAGGCAAGCTAGTAAGAGCTGTGTGTGTAAACCACACTCCTCTAGCCCAAGAGTCATGCTTGCAACTGACGCTAGAGACTGCGGTCTTTAGTGTCCTTGTTAGCGCACCCACCTCCTCCTATGCTGGAGACGGCGATACGAATCCCGCACGGACCGGGTCCAGTAAGACCGGTAACATTTGATGTGAGTGAGGTTTAGGGGGGTGAGTGTAACGGAGGCAAGCTTGTAAGAGCTGTGTGTGTAAACCTCACTCCCCTGGCCTCAAGAGGCGTGCTAGCGACTGATGCTAGAGAGTGCGGCCTTTAGCTTCCTTCTTAGCGCGCCCAGTTCCCAAGCCGGACACACCAGTTAAAATCCCGCTCGGAGCGGGTTGAGTAGGACCGGTTACACTATGGTGTTCTGTGTTGCCAACCTGGGGAGGTGAGGTGACAGACCATGTGAGCAAAGCAGAGAGGTGTGGCCAGTGTGCTCCACTCAATCGCTCACGGCCCACTCAAATCCCACTTCGACATTAAATTTCTCTGTACTATACTTTCTGTTTGTAATGAATTTCTTGAATAAATCTCTCAATTACAGTAGGCCTATAGATAACAGTTATGATATTTGTGTAATTAAAGCAATATTTTAATATTACACCCATACAATAATCCGTCCCGGTTTCTAGAGCGTTGCTATTCACATGCTAGGGTGTTCAGAGTGGTTTTAGAGTGCTGCTATGCATTTACTTTTGGTGTCATGGGTGGTTTTTAGTGCGTTGCTATGTGGTTGCTGGGGTGTTTTGGGTGGTGCATAAATGGTTAGTTCTAAATAATTATAGTATAAAATGTGATGGGAACAGCCTATAAACCCCTTTTCAGTTATAAGTGGAACGTTTATTTTTAAGGTCCCTTTTTAAGGGCTCCTACTGGATCATGGTCCACAACATCATGAAAATCTGTCACGTCCTCCACCACACTGCTATCTCCTTGTTCAGACCCTTCACCCTTCCGATTTCATGGCCAGATCACAGCAACTCCCTCCTCGACGGTCCCCTCCCCCATGAAAACATTACACCCCTTTCTATAGGCAGCTCTTTCAGGCGGGAAAGTCTCAGCGTCCTGCTCATGAAGTTCTCTCATGTCTGTATTTGCTCCTGTAGGACTGGAATGGGGGAGGGGTGTAGTGGGTGTGGCCGCTGAGTTTCAGGGGAAGGAAAGGGGCACTAAAGTGATCTTTGCCGCGCACGATTACAAAGCTACTAACTAAACATACATGTGAGAGTGAGATCATTGTGCATGTGTGATTACATCAGAGAGAAAACACACAACAAAGTGTACAATGAGGTCCTTACAAGTCATGACCACAATCTGAATGTCCTCAGTGTTTGGTTTATCTCAATGGTTCACATGCTAAACACCTACAGTACATACTGCAAATGTGTTTACTTACAAAACAAATTCCTAAAGAATTCCAGTGTTTCTATGGACACTCAAACTATTTCAATCAAACTATGAAATTTCAGTAACTTATTAATATAAAAAGTGAACAAGACTGAAAATACTGCATGTTGTTGCTATGCTTTTCTAGATAGTTCTAGTGCTTTTTAAGCGGTTGGGTGTTCTGGGTGGTTTCTAGGGCGTTGCTATGCATTAACTTGGGTGTTTTGAGTGGCGCTATGTAGTTGCTAGTGTTGAGTGGTTTCTTGGGTATTATGCATTTGCTTGGGTTTTTGCGAGAGTTTAGTGTATTGCTATGTGGTTGCTAGGGTGTTCTGTGTGGTCTGTTGATTGTTGCTATACATTTGCTGGAAGGGTTCTAAATGGCTTTTTTAGTGCATTTCTTGCTGTGGGTTTAGTGTGTCGCAATGCGGTTTCTAGGGTGTTGGTCTACATTTGCTAAGCCGTTTGTACATTGCTATGTGGTTGCTGGGTGTTTTGCATGGTTGCTAGGACGTTGCTAGGTGGTTGCATATTGGCCCAAGTCAAAAGAGCTGACTGTCCTTTCTTTTCTTTTTCTTTTTTAAATTTCTCATTCTTATTGATGATGTGGTGGCTAATTCTAAGTTACCACATAACTATGTGGGGTTTTTTTTTGGCAGAAACTAATGTTAGCCTATTGCAAATTTTTTGCAAGGAAAACTTTTGTTTTGCCTTAAAGTTGAAAAATGCATTGTTAGGATCAGTATGAATAGATTTACAATGGGATGCGTTTGATGAGTAAGATTAAGATACCCAGGTCACCTTGAGGTATTTCCAGTAGCTTGAACAAAAGCCTCTTTGAGGGGCAGCACTTCCTGTGGTTCTATCCAACCATCTGCCACAACATCTTACTCACTCGACCGCCTTTATTTTACCCTCTCGATCATTATATAAGTTGAACACTGACATTTAATTAGGACTTCGTAGTAAAATCTTCCAGGCTTCAGCTTTGATTTGGTTTGAATGTCTGTTTGGCCCCACCCAGACCTGTACAGGCATGCAGAAGATGATGAATAATAAAAATGTAAAACAAAATATTTGTGGTGCGGTCTAAAAGCCTACCAGTAGTTGACTAAGAAAGGTTAGCAATGTGATTAGGCAAGAAAAAACATACAGAATTATTGTCAGGCACACATAGAGATTAAACTAGCTCAGTAAAGTTTCACTGATGAGGTCTTGCAGAAGTGACTACGACCACAGACGGCTCTAGTGAACTCAACTTATTTTGGAAGTGCAAGTGCAACTCAGTGACTATATGGATCAGTAAGTGGATTTCTCCTCGAGCGAATGGCTGCCTGCCCATCTGGACATGCACGTAAAGCCCAGATTACACAGAGTAATGGTTATGCAGGGGTCAGTGGGAGGGGAGCAGACAGAGCTCATCGCCAGTCTGGTACGGACTTATTATCTGCAAATACATTATGTGTTTTCATTGATATTTGGGGTTAAATTTTTTTTTTTTCAGTACGAAAATGAACCATGGATAATATATATAATAATATAGTAAAATTGTAGTAAACATGTTTTTTTGGCGAATTTGTTATTGATTACATTTGTACAACCACAGTTTTACTACAAATACCATGGTTAAACTAGTTAGTGTAGCAAAACCATGGTTCATTTTTAGTTACCATGGGGTCAAACAGGGTGCATTTGTCACACTGCATTTTGGTTTTACATCTTAATGTGGTGGAACTGTCACGCTAACATTTTTGCTCACTTGACGTTTATTGCCTCGAGGTTTAATGTAAAACTAAAATATGACTGATGTAAAATAGGC